CAAATGTCTGTGAAAACATGATTATTTTTTCACATACATTTTACATTGTTTCTCCTCATATTGTTTCTTTGATCTGAATATTTACAATAAAAACATAAAAGTAGCTCCGTGCGGGGAGGGCGAGTAGAAAGAGTGAGGCCAGCGCTCACATTCGAAAAAGTGAGTTAGTGCAGCTTTAACCACTGGAGCCAAATTTGCTCATTGCAACCCGGCAAGAGGTAACAGGCAATTTGTTGGCCGAAGCCAAATTCAGGGATAGAAGGTAAGATAGAAGGTAAGATGGAAGGTTGGGTTCATATCCCAATTCACAAGGAAACAAATCCCCATAAAAAACTCTAGTATCATGCAGGGCAGTAAATCTACATGAAAGTAAAGAAATTCAATATGAACTGGAAACTGTGATGTCTTTTGACGGGCATTAGAGAGGTTTACTTTCCTTTGAAAGAGATTGAAAGCGAGAAAGTGAGTCGGAGCATTTTGCCCTCGGCCACTTTCAGCAAACGAGCAGGTTTGTTTTTTATAGTCTGAGACAGGGCCAACCTTTGACCAGCACACAGACTCCTGTACTGATTGACTCCTAAACTCAAAAAACGTATTTGCTGTAATTAAACAAAAGTGACACAAACCAAGAAAAATTCATGAGTAACAGTGAGGGAGAATTAGGAGAGAAGAGAATAATAGGTCACCCAGAGTAACAGTCTGCTGCTGATGTAGATGAGAGTAATAGATTGTAACGGATCCAGGCTTACATCTGTTTGTTTATGGAGCTGCATGCTAATGCTCTTCAGTCCAGCACACTTCCACAAAATGTGTCTGCGCGTGTAAATGTTTGTGAGTGTGTGCGTGTGCTTGTGGGTGCACAAACTTTCCATGTTATGACATCTGCATTTCAGCACCACGTGAACAAAAGAGAGAGAGAGTTGGCAGGGAGGTAAAGGAAATTTATGTCCAAGCAAAATGTAGCAAACTGGAGTCAGATTTTAAATACCATGACATTTGGTTAGCTACACTGTCAATGATTTAGATGTTTTAGGTCAATTACAGAGACATTTTAGTTTCTTTGTGTTGTTGGCGATTGCTTCATTGTTCTTCAAATCAGTTATATTGCTGCCGGCAACAGAAAGTTACATTTACAGTTATTGCCAGTTTATCTGATAAAGAGTCCTTATTGTATCGTGTGTCTAGATGCAGCCAAAATAATTTCAGTCTTTTTATTTGCAGTATTTGTGATCTATTACCTGTCATGGTGTGGATTTTATTTCTGTATTTGGTTTTATTTTGACATCAGTTCTGTGGTTTGATTTCGGTTTGGCTTCCTGTCCTGTTCCCCTGTTGTTTCTCTGCCCCGCCCTGATGTGGTTCACCTGTGACTGTCTGTGTGTATTGTACCCGTGCTCTTCTCCCCTTCTTGCTGGTTGATTGAATTGTCTGTCTTTGTCCCCGGTTCCAGTGTTCCGTTTGAATTCTTGAGTTTGTTTTTACGCTGGACCTTTATATACTGTATTATCATCATAAAATAACATTTTTGACATTCCTGCTATTTGATTCCTCCATCACTTCACCACGTGACAGAATGAACCAGCCACGACAAGAACTCAGCAGAATGGCTTTTTTTTCTCAACACACCTTCTTCCTGATTGTCACTACTCATCAGGTTTTTTTTTGGTTTTTTTTGCCACGTCCCTTGTCTCCACTGCTGACCTCTCATCCTATTCCTGGTTGTCTCCTGTGCCCGTCTCTGTGCCACCACCGGGCCTTGTTCTCCGTCCGGGGTGGTCCCCTGTTCCCTCCTGACCTGTTGAGAGATAAACGGTGAAGTCCTGGTCTGGATGTTCCCTTCAGTTTGGAACCAAGGTCTGCCTGTTGCCCTTCTATAACCTCTCCATCACCTTACCTGTTGCCACCGCCAGACTATGACATCCGTCTGGGGTGGTTCTGTTCTCGTCTGTCGCCGCCGGGCATACGTCTCTGTCTGGGATGAGCCAGTTCCCTGCATGGAAGGTCACAATTGGGCTTCAGCTCCAGCCCTTGACTGGTTCAGGCCCTGCTGCTGACCTGAGGTTTTCCAGCCTCTGGTTCCCGCGTTCCGTTTGGATTTTTGAGTTTGTTTTTACTATAGAACTTTATTAAACCTTATTTTTGAGTCCTCCATCACTTCACCTCGAGACATGACTATGCACATTTATGAATGACTTCAAGCCCTCCAAAAAAGCCAGTGCACTCTTCCTCACTGTCAGTTTAAAGTAAATATAACACCTCCAACATGTTAATGAAATGTACAATATTTAATTTCAATGATAATGTACATTTATGATTGTTTTTTTTATAAAAAATACAAATGCTTTTTGTTCACATGGACAGGTTAACAACAGCATTTTACAGACGCAAAGCTACAGTCGTTCTGTAGCTTTGAGTTAAGATTGAAATAATGTATACGTTCAGGTAGACACAATGCAAACACAATTACAAATAAACTCTAGCATTTTGACAAAATGTAAACATTCATGCAAAAGCTTTAAAGTGACTTTGGCTGGTGGACTCAACGTAGGCGAATGATCAGCAGCAACGACAAAGCATAAAACAGTATCATACCACTCAGGCATAACACTCCCCTATAAACGATAACCACAGAGTATATCATGGAGTTGAGTAGTTGAGTGAGTAAGAAAGTCGGTTTTCTGATAATCAAAATATGAAATCGTAAATTTTAGATTCAACCCATGCTTAATAAGGAATTAGGGATGACCGGGGGTCCTAAGAGTAACTTCAGGGGCCCCACAAAGGATGCAAACACAAAACATTGTTCAAAACCAATCATATTTTTTCTGTTCATCTTGTAATTTTAGTTTATACTGCAATTTCATTCAGAGGCCGAGAGGCCAGAAATATTTCCATTGTGAAAAATTTGGAAACAGCTGGACAAGACGAAAAACTCAAGGACTACAGTAGATTAAATGTAACCATTGCAAATTCATCTCTAAATGTCTTTACTAATACCGAATATTGATACAAGTACTGATTTTTTTTTGGTTCTTTTGAAAGACAATTTTAGATGTATTACCTTGTTAACATGTTTCGGCTGCAGAGCTGTGAGCCATTTTCAGAACTGTCATTTGGTGACATATCATTTATCAGCTGACTACTTCCTGAGTAGGCGAGGTCAGCCTGATTGACCTGGCAGGTCGCTCAGACTGACCATGCCCCCTCTGGGTGTCCTATGTGTGGAACAGGAGGAAAGCTCCCTTATCTCGGTTGATTCTGTTGTCACTGTACTCCGCTTCTTGATTTCAATTTCCTCCTTGATCCAGCGTTTGTATTTTTTGTTTTCGGGTCCATACTGTGGTTATGTCTCTTGCAGTAATCTGAAATGGCTGATGAGAGGTTTTCCTGATTTGCTTGTTCTTTTCCGGCCAAGTCTCCTTGTTGTCTCTTTTTCACACTCCTGATGTTCCTTTCATGTGTGGAATGCCCTGCCCTTTTTACCTATGTATAATATTGGACACGGCTTGCAATGTGTTTCATATATTGCATTGCAATTTTGATCTGGTGGTACAAAGTCCTTTGGGTGTACTCACTGTTGTCGAAGTTTATTGTAAGGTTTGAGCGACCTGACAGGTCTATCAGGCTAACATCAGCTGATAAATGACATGTCACCGGGGCAGGTGTCAGTTCCGCAGCCGAAACATGTTAACAAAGTAATACATCTAAACTTGTCTTTCAAAAGAACCAAAAAAAGCATTTTAACTCAAGACAAAATGAACCTTTTTGAATCAATTACTGAATTGTATCATGGAATTCATAAAAGTAATACAGCTGAAATCTACAATGTTTTATTACAAATGAATAGCTCCGGTGCTAGCAAAGGTATTATACTCCTTGTGTTGGTGAGTTATCAGATGTTTGATCAAGTTGCTGGTGTTATAGGTGTTTTTTTTGGACTCCCCACGTGATTGTTTTGCCTTAAACAACGTACAGTCTACTTTACTCTTGTAACTCTTGTTTATTTAAAAACGCTGCCATACGGCCGACATCCTGGCCGCTTGCTGCTAAACTAAGCTAACCTAGCGGCAAGCGCTTTTATCACTGTCTGCTGTCGTGATGTTAATGTACATACAAATTTGGGTATCGGTTGTCCGCATTGGGTCCAATGAGTACGAGTATGAGCACAAGCCTATGGTTGACCCAATACCAGTATCGGTATCGGTGCATCCCTAGACTACAGTAATGTGCCTCCTATTGTTTTAACACTACCTGTTAGCTTTCAGGGGTGCGGTTGGTTTGCAGGGAGGGGCGTGTGTGTATTTGGGTGCACCGGTCCATAGCTCTAAAAGAGGTTGAAGATATGATGAATTACTAAATATATAGATCAAAAGGAGTCTCAATATTGAGCTGAGACAATATAAAAGGGACAAGTCTGTGCATTTCCTCATTCAGTCAGCAGAATGGCATTATTCTCCCATCCTTTACTGCTCATTTTACACCTTGCCAGGGACTACAGTTGGAAACTTGCTGTAGACATAATACTGACACATTTACTGGAATTTTGATGAATGTGAGCTGTCCTTTATTCAACTAAACTAATAATAGAAATGAAAATTACAGAACCCAAGCTACCAAGTTGTCATGCAAGGATTAAAGATTAAATCAGAGAATCGAGAAAGATATTTGCCGAAAAAGGAAGTCAAATCTGTGGCTAAGTGGCCATGGTCAGAGGGTTAAAGACAATGGCGTCTGGCACAAGAGATTATAAATGACTCAAGCATAAATCCCTTTAAAAACCGCTTTGAGTGCGTAAAAGACAAGCGAGAACTTCTATAACACGGTCAAAAGCATTGTCAAAAGGCAATCGTTCATGTTATGTCCCCTTTAAATCACACTTTAAAAAACAATAGTTCAAGTAAAGCAAAAACTCCATTTTGGCTCCACTTCTGTCTTTCTCTCTCAGTTTTGAGCGAGGTACTTGTATCATGACAAGTGGTCCTCGCGAAGTCAAGCTGCGTCTAAGAGTCGTCCTCGGTTTTGATGACGTGAAAGAGGGTGACATTGAAAATAACCTGATGTCCATTGTTCCAGGCGTACAGCGCTCTCTCCCGGGCGTTGTAGTCGAGCATGGAGATATGAAAGTACTGATTATGGAAGGGAATGTCTATGTATTCATACGTCGAGGTTTTAGTAGAATATGCGTAGTACACTTTGGCTCCAGACATGTGCGAGTTGGTGATGTACAACGTCCCACAGATCATGAAGGACTCGCCCGCGTTACGCTTGGAGTATTCCGTATTCCACGTCTTCAGCACGTGAAGCGTATCTGGGTCGATTTGCGATATGACAACGTTCCCTGCGTTCTGATTGGTCGCGTAGACAACCCACATTCCAAGCTCGTCCGCCATGATATCGATATCAGAAAAGCCGCCCCAACTGTAAGCATACATGTTGTGAAATCCGGCAAATTCCAGCGCTCTCTGGGCCAAAACACTGCCGGTTTCAAAGCTGTACTTGACGATGATGTTGCTCTGGTATTTGTTGTAGTACAAAGAGCCGTTGTAGACCAGGTGGTTGGTGCCCTCCCACTTGAAAGGCAGGCTGTACGTTCGGGACACCACTCCGGAGACAAAATCATCAGTGTTTTTGAATTCACGGACGATCTTGCTGTTGGTGTAGCTGTCCATGTACCATATCTGCACCAGAGAGAATCAATAAATATTGTTTGTACTGATTGCAAGGTAAGTTGTTAAAGTGAAGAAGCCAGACCCACAAACACAAAAGATGAAAAATGTTTGTGATGAGCTGCGAAAATAATGAAGCCACTTTCAAATCTCATACATGCTGCTATTTATTTACATCAAACTGAAATCAAAATTGAGCTGAGAGCTGCCTAAAGGGTGGTCCTTTCTTCACTTTTCTGTGAATGTGAAAACTAGTGATAGAACCAAACTACTTTGATTGTCAAGAACGTCCACAGTACATAGTTGCATAAAAAAATTGTTTAAACTATCTTTATATGGTTGCAGAGTTAGGTACCCCAGCTTTAATTGCACAGTCCAATGTTTTTAACCTGTCTGTTTTACCTGTTCAACTACGGAATACTGCTTTAAACGAACAACATCCAATCACTGCACAGTTGTTGCACCCTCTGCATGACCCTATGGCCGCTTATCCATCCATCCATCCATCCATTTTCTTCCCCTTAATCCATTTCTGGGTCGGGGGGGTGGCAGTCAGAGATGCCACCCATTACACAGAGCACCAGCCCAATCTACCTACCTATCGATCTATCTACTGTGCAAAAGGTGCATTGTATTTTGTAACTGCACCGTTCTAGAGAAACAAAAGGGAAGGCTAAAAGTCAGATCATTTTCAAGGTTTCTCTACACTCTACGCTAAAACAACTTTTGTATAATATATTGCACAATGACCTACTGTTGATTGATATATTTGTCGTTCTGTGGTACCTTCCATACAATGGGCCTCATGTATGAAAGTTGCGCAGAAAAGGGAGTATATTTTGGGTGTATATACGCAGAAAACAACAGAAAACGCAGAAACAAAGTGTCCTATCACAACTATGCAGACGACACTCAGATCTATGTCTCACTGACTGCAGGAGAACATGGACCAGTAGACTCACTGAAATGATTGTCTTTGGTCCCCAGAAACAAATAGAGAGCGTCATCTGTATCTACAGTCTCTCTCCCTAAAACCTTCAAACAAGGTCAGATATCTAGGGGTAATACTGGACTCAGACTTAAATTTTAATAGCCACATCAAATCAGTAACATCAGCAGCTTTTTACCATCTTAAAAACATTGCCAGGATCAAAAACATAGTGTCTAAAGCAGACTTGGAGATTCTTATCCATGCATTTGTCTCCAGTAGGTTAGACTACTGCAATGGCCTGCTCACAGGTCTGTCCAAACAGGCTGTAAAACAACTGCAGTACATTCAAAATGCAGCAGCTCGAGTTCTGACTAGAACCAGGAAGTACGACCACATTAGTCCGGTCCTCAGGTCTCTGCACTGGCTTCCTGTGGCTCAGAGAATAGACTTTAAAACAGCTCTGCTTGTGTACAAGTCTCTCCATGGCCTCGCACCAAAATATATTAGTGACATGTTAGTCCCATATGAACCAGCCCGGACTCTGAGGAGCACAGGGACTGGACTCCTGTTAGTGCCCAGAGTCAGAACTAAACATGGGGAGGCTGCTTTTCAGATTCATGCTGCTAAAATCTGGAACAATCTTCCTGAAGATGTGAGACAGGCCCCTCTCTGACAATGTTTAAAACCAGGTTAAAAACAGTTCTGTTTAGCTGTGCATACAACTGAGGGATTTTATGTTTTTATCTTTCTTTTTAATGTACTGTGATTATGATTTTAATGCTATCTTGTTCAGCACTTTGAGTTGCCTTGTGTATGAATTGTGCTATACAAATAAACTTGCCTTGCCTTGCCATATTCCAGATACGTAAGATCCGACGTGGCATTTATGAACGTGTGAGATCCGCACAGATTCGAGCGTACGCACCTGTGGGTGTTTAATAAATACCGCTCTCAAAAACAGCGTATTTATGAAAATCACGCCTATAAATATTCAGAAACCGCCTGATCACGCCCCGTCTTTACGACAGGTCAGCAGGAAGTCGGCTAGGAAGACTGTTTGGAAGCCTCAAAAAGCACTCAATTCTGAGTTTATTCATGTTTAAAAAAATTATATATATGCGCTATATATATACACTTTTTCCCTAGTGTCTAGACCCACTGCAGCACTCATCTCTCATGAAATTTCGACATAAATAAATAAATAATAAATGAATGAATGAACTATACTGCTGGTGAGCGCGTCGCATCCTATCTCTGCTCTGTGGAGTAAAGGGCAGTGGCTGAGATAGTTTTGAACAAGATTAGGTGCATTTATGGGGCTTTATGCACAAAACTAAGCACATTGCTTTGCCAGAGGTGAAAGAGGCAAAACATATGCGTAATTACGTATACAGCGCAGGGTCTGGTTAGTGAGTAAACGGCTAAGGAAAAATACTTCACGGAGCAGGAGATTGCTTGGACCCGCATGAACCAAAATGCCATTACGCATTGATCTTAGGTGCATATAACGATCCATACATTTGTGGGAGACTTTAGAGTTGGACATTTTGCACGTTATTTAATAACACAAACTAGCCCTAATATAACCTTGTAAAATTGCACATTTGTAATGTGAGAGGTGTGCCTATAATCTTGCCAGAGTGGGAACATGTTTATTGTTGTCCAAATCTTGCATTTTATACGTGTTTTGGCGTGTTGTGATGAAGGTTGAGATGGGTGTAAAATGTACACCACCTCCTGACTTGGTGTAAATTCTGTGCATATCGTACGCTCACGACCAGCTTGATAAATGCCGAAAAGTGTAAATTTTTTGCGTACGCATCATTTACACCTGGATTTGGCCGTACGCAAGTGTCATACATGAGGGCCATTGGGTGGATATGGAGACTTCCGAGACCGTTAATATGCTACCTGGTTTTCCATTAGGGGCTGTAGATGACCATTGAAAAATGCTTGACCACATGTCCACCACAGGTGAGGTTGATCGATTTGGAGACTAAAAAGCCGGTCGTGACAAACAGAAATTAGTTTAATGGACCTGAAGTACTACTCGAAGGCCCTGTTTATACTGAGACGTGCGCAGACGTTTCCAGGCTATTAACAGAAACCAACATGGCTCTTAATGCAAATTTCTCAGTGTTATCCATGAGGTTGAAAACGATTGTAGTTCTAGCGCCCCCCTTGGCCAGTAGTGGGCAGAGGCAACTTCTACAACCACTCCACGTCCCCAGCCCCAATGCCAGCCCCCCTCTCGTTAGTAATCTCACATCCTGTGCCCAGACCCTCGAATGCCCCAAACATCATTCTGCATTTTAAACAGCAGCTGTGAAAATGAAAAAACTGAACCTAGAGATCCGCTGGTCTCGTGTGGACGAACGAAGGTGTTAGAATTCTCATCTGTGCCGCGAGGAAGCCCAACGTAGCTAGGTTTGTGTGCCGGCGCCATTAGTTGTGATGTTTGTTTCACCGCTACTGCGCCATGTCAAAATTTTTTTTTTTTATTTTTTTTTTTTTTTTTTTTTTATTTTTATTTTTTTTTTTTCTTTTTTTAGACGTGCGGGGAGCAGCGGGGGAGGAGGCGGGGGTTCTCCGCGCAGAGGGGGATTTCACACCTATACCCTCTCGCGGGTGTGAAGAGCTCCCCGGCTGTGCACGCGTTTTGAGTTGTCCCACTCTGCAGGCTTGGATCTGAACACTTACATTTCACCCCCTGAAACAAGTCTTCGTTCGTGAACGGTTGGTAAATATCTCTGCAGTCAAACATAACCGTTTTGATAGTCTGGCTTTCAGTGTAGTCTTATATGACTCTGCTGTTTTGTGTCGGTCAGTTGTCTATTTTTGCTCAATGGCATCCTTAGTTGTCCATATCATGTGTTGTTCGACCAATTTGTTTCTATAAAAAGAAAATCCTAATGATGAGGAAATCGATATAATAGACATTTTCAGAATAATTTCAGTTTTAAAGGATGTATACCTTTAAAAACTGTGAAGTTTTTCTGAAAATGTCTCTTTCCCGGAAGGTAGAAAAATATTATAGGATTACCTACTTCCGGGTGGATACATCAAGGACACATTTTGTTCCTTCCAATTGTCAATATTCAGTGATCGCAATAAGACCAGAGAGTTTTGTTCAAAAACTAGAGAAGGGGGACTTCCTTCCTTCATACCTTTAGGCAAACAAAACAATATTCACAATTTTAAGAGAACCTGCTCTTCTACATGCTTTAGTAGTTTTGGATAGCCATGTAGCTGAGTTTACACGGAGCAACAAGTGTTGCAGTAAAACGGTTATAGTTTGGATGTCGGTTTCTACCCACCCGTTCACACGAAGGCCTGTGTATCAGGGGGGTGAAAATGTAGTGTTAGATCCAGCCTGGCAGCGTGGGACAAATCAGAAACGCTGCACACGGGGAGCTCTTTCCCACCGCCGACGAGGGGAATAGGTGTGAAATCCCCCTCTGCTCTGACCCCCGCCTCCCCGCTTGCTTCCCCGCACGTAAATTTGGACATGCGCATCTAGCGGAGAACAAACATCAACAACCCAATGGCTCGCGCACACAAATAGCCTACGTGGGCTCCTCCAGCGCGGCCAGAGGGATATTCTACACCTTCGTTGTCCAAACGAGACCACGCGACGCTCTAGGTTCAGTTTTCATTTTTCAAAGATGTGTTAAAATGCAGAACGATGGTTGGTGCCTCTGAGGGTCTGCACCAGGAAGAGAAGCTATATACCGAGAGGGGGGCTGGGCATGGGGCTGGGGGTCGTGTGAGTGTTGTAACGTTTCTCTGTCCACTACTGGCAGGGCGGCAAGGAACTAAATCGTTTTTCAACCTCATGTGAAAATCACTGAGGGAAATTTGCCTAAGGAGCCTCGGTTGTTTCTGTTAATAGCCTGGAACGTTCTGCCGCAGCGTCTCAGTATAAACAGGGCATATCGAGTAGTACTTAGGTCCATTCAACTAATTTCTTTTGTCACGCCCGCCTTTTTAGTCTCCAATCGATCAAACCTCACTCTGTGGTGGGACATGTGGTCAAGCATTTATTAGGTCAATCTACAGCCAAAAGGAAACC